TCAGAAAAGAAGCTACACAGAAAATCAGGTCTTGGGAACAAATAAGCCAAAACCTTGGCCAGTTGCTGCTTTGACAGCTGCTGGCGCCCCCGTGTGTGCCAGAGCGGAACTGCACTCCGTGGTGGCCTCTAGCTCAATGAGGAGCAAGGGGTCAGGTGTGGCCTGAGGTGCCTCCAGACCGGAGGTGGGTTGTCAGTGAGCCCCTGAACGCACTGGACCCCAGGGACATTAACTCTGAGTGGTAGGAACAAAGTGATAGTGCTCCTTTATGCCTTTAAAAGTATTTCAAAGCATCTTCAAAAAAAGAAATCTTAGACTCCTAAGCTCAAGAGCTTAGTGTCCTAGTAGGGTAGGGAGTTGTGCTGCTGACCCAAAGTTGGGCAGTTCAAGTCCATTAGCTGCTCCACAAGAGAAAGGAGCAATCTCTTCCCACTTGATTTCCAGCCTCTGGAAAGCTGTGAGTGTGTTCCTCGGGCTGTAGTGAGTGGATAAGGAGTGAGTGTTAACAGCAAACAGCTGCATGCGTCCCTGATTTTCTCTTATCCTAGAAAACATGGACACAGACCTGCCAGCCAGCCTGGGACAGAGTGAGGAGAAGCCCGTGCCTGCCGCCCCTGTGCCCAGCCCAGTCGCGCCGGCCCCCGTGCCATCCAGGAGAAACCCACCGGGCGGCAAGTCCAGCCTGGTCCTGGGTTAACTCTGCCTGTCTGATGCTGTCCTTCTGTCTGTCTGTCTTCTCCATGCTTGTGAACTGCACAACTTGAGCCTGACTGTACATCTTTTGGATTTGTTTCATTAAAAAAGAAGCACTTTATGTACTGCTGTCTTCTTAATTTTATTTTTGTTTTGTTTTGACGACTTCTTTTTAAGGAACTGGTTTCTTCTCTGTCCTGACTCCTGGGTCTGTTGGCCATGGCATGAGTGTTTTTCTAGCAGTAGATTTGAGGGAAAGCTTGGTGACATTTAGTACTGTGTTTCTGAGAACAAATAACTTAGTTCCAAACGTGTTAGAGGATCTTTTGTACTGCGGTTTTTTAAACCCTTTCTTGTCAGCTTTACTTGGGTTTACCAAGCCTTGACTGCGTAGACCGTGAACAGTCCGCAGGCACCTCCCCTCCCCCTCCGTGTTCCCTAACTTCCCGCTGTCCTTTCCTAGAAAGCATCTCCTGTTCCACTGTGCCATACTGGACAGTAAGGAGGCCCGGCCTCATGCCTTGCTGCCTGCAAAGCAAAGAAACTGCCTTTTCTTCTTTAATTTTAAGAAATATGCCAGCTCTTCGCACGACTGGCTGACGAGCAAAGCCTGCTGCCCTCGTAGAGGAAGGCTTGAGGTGCACAATCAGAATGGGAAGGAAGCTGCTGTGGCGGACGGGGGCGGTGGCTCACACAGCAGAGGGTCTTCTCGATGCACGGGTGCTGCGGGGGCATTTTTCTCATAACTTGATGCTGTGTGCATGATGCTGGTGCTTGACCATGAACCGAAAGTCTCGTCTTGACAATGTATGTTGTACTTCACAATCCTGGACTGTCCTCCAAGTAAACAGTATACACGTTTTGAAACATTGTGTCCGCGTCTTCTTTGAGATTTGGACTGGGGGTTGTGTTTTTCCTCTCAGAGTTACTCTTTGTTATTCTTGCAAACCACTCTGCCCACTGATTGAGAAGTCATTTAAAGTTAAAACAGACACAGGAAAGTCCAGAAAGAAACCTGTTTTCCTAGAGAAAATTCTCCACAGAGAATGGCTTAAGGTTAAGGTCTGAGTTCAGAAGTACTAACATTTGTCATCAGCCCTTGGGATCTGTGCTAACGTGAGGATAAAGGTAGGAAGGATCAGGTAGAGAGATTACGTAGGCCGTGGGCATGGCAGGGTTAAAGGACGATATATGTGAATAATGGGATCTTGGATTTGCTTTGTAACATTTTACCACAGTGCTGGTTTTGTTGGCCTAAGTTAGTCTCCACTGTGAATGTTAGAGGTGGGGAACTTGTATCTACCCTCAGACTCAATTAAGCTCCTTGTCCAGACGCCCCTGATTCATGTCTTATCTTTTTTTTTTTTTTTTTCTATTCTAGGGAATCAAACACCTGTTTAAAGCCTGGCATTCTGAGAGAAGGAGTTCAATCTTTTTTTGGTTGTCAGTTCAGATTCTTGAAAATCCATTTCTTGTTTCAAGTGCTCTGGTGTCGCAGTGATAAAGCACTCGACTGTTACCTGAAACAAAGGTTACAGCCCTGGAAACTCTGAACAACAGCCGCAGCTGAGCCTCCAGCAGGCTTCTGAGGCTGTAAATCACGTGGGAGGTGACTGCCCATCTTTCTCCCGTTGAGATGCTGGATGGTGGATCTGAACTGGCCTCAAGAGCTCCCTTGGAAACTGCAGGCAGTTCTACTCTGTCCTTTTTAAACTTTTTTTTTTTAATTTTATTATTTTGTGTGTGTACCGTCAAATCAGATCTGACTGGTACAGGAGGAGATTGTCCCTCCTTCTCTAGCAGAGAATCTGGTGGATTCGAACCACATATCTCTGGAATTGCAGTGCAGCTTCTTGCCACTAGGCCACCAGACTTCACTTGACTCTGTTGTTTAGAGTGGGGATGAGACCAGGGCAGGGTTTGCATGCTAATGGAAACAGATCCAACAGCCTTTCCTTTGAGATGCTTGGGCAAGTTCCAACCTCCAGTGTTGAGGGTGGTGGAGGCATACAAACCCAGGCCACCTAGACCTTGAATCATCTAGGGTTCCTTGGAGCTGTGTACTTCACGTTTGCCCTAGAGACTCCATACCTCTCGCTGCTGGGTGCCCCGTGGTTCTCCAGGCCTGTGGGGAGACCCTGGACTGTGATGCAAGTCATGTCTTCACCAGCACCAAAAAGTGAGCTGTTTTGCTGTTCCAAGACATGGACCAGTTTAAGGCAGGCTTCCATGAAACCCCTTTCCAAACCAGAATTGGCCTGCAAGATGACAGCATCTGGTTTTTGGTGTTTTTATGTGTGTGTGTTGTTTTTTTGTTTTTTAATTTTTATTTTAATTGTGAGTTTAACAAAAGTTTACAGAAAAGTTAGATGGGCATTGTCCTGTGAGATTTACTGCCTCAGAAAACCAGTTGGCGGGTCAGCTCTGGGTTGATTTTGACTCAGTGGTACACGACAACCTCCCATCTTTACACCCTTCAAATCAAAACCTTGGAGGATAGCAGGAGGCAGGCTTAATTCTACAGCATAGTTTGGGTTGGTTTTGCTGTTTGGTTCCCCTCCCTTAATGTTGAGCATGTATTCATTTTTTTTAATCCCCCTTTGTAGATTTTACACAATTCCCTCACTACATCCAAATTTATTTTCCTACAAATTAGTAGGACTAGTTTCTCTTAACAACAAGCTCAATGTTTGTGAGATAAAGCTCCAGCCTCCTGGCTTCTAAGGAGCTGTCTGGCTGCACTTTCTCCAAGACATACCTGCTTGTTCTTTTTGCAATCCTTTAGGCACTCAGTACTCTTTGGAAAAAGACATTATGCTTGGAAAGGTGGAGGGTCAGTGAGGAAGACCCTCAACGAGGTGGGCTGACTCAGTGGCTGCTGCAATGGGATCAAGCTATTCCCTTGAGAGATAAGGATGGCCCGGGATAGGACAGGGCTGCCTACACTATAGATCTGTTGTCTTGACTCGATACCTAACAAAAACAACAAATTAGACACCCAGATCTTGTCGCCATTCCCCATCTGAGCACCCCAACACTTCTGAGACAGGAACATCACAAGGGGGAGCCTGTGGAGACGGGGAACCATCTGATTACCCACAGGCTGCAGAAGCTATAAACCCTGGCTGGCCTCCCCTCCTTTCCTAAGAGTCAGAGAAACGAAACAATAGGTCCAAGCTGTCCAGGAAATGCTGTTTCTGCCTGCCCTGTGGGTGTCTTAGATAAACACCATCATCACCGTCCTTTTATGTCACTATCTCTGGAAAATTGAACACTCTTTGGCAAACGTGTTGGCATCAACGCGAGCGATTCCGTGCAGTAGGATTATAATCTTTATGGAAAGGGACCCACGGGTCTCATTCATGGAGCTGCTGCTGATGGTTTGTAGCCTTGGGTTAGTGACTGGGCACCTTCACCATTGGGCACCGTTGGAATTGTTGTGTGCCGTCGAGTAGGAACCGACCCATGGCTGACCCGCCAGAGGCTGTAAATCGAATGGGAGGAGACTTAATTCTGCGGAACCACTGAGATTGCGGCGCAGACAGACAAGAAAATCCCAAGGTGCATCCGCTAACACATGGAGTCGCCATGGGTCCCTGTCAATGTGCATTGTGTTTGGTTTGATTTCTAATAGCTGTTTGCCGGCGTTTTGAATCATCCCTTTGTAGCCAGCTGGAAGACCCGCACCATAACCCTGTGCGGAGTGGGGTGGTCGGTGGTGGCTGTGAGCAGGATGGGAAGATGAGGGTTAACTTGGCCTCCTATCCCGCGCACCCTGAGGCTGCTGCAGGGTCTCCAGCGCGGCCATGCAAAGAAGCCCTATGTAAATGAAGCGGTGGGCCCGACCCCAGCGTGGCCATGCAAATAAGGCTGTGGCCCCTCCCCGACGGCCCTGAACTGCCACCCGCCCCCTGCATGGCCATGCAAATAAGCCAAGCCCCATGCAAATAAGGCGATGGGCCCTCCCCTAGAGCGGCCATGCAAATAAGCCAAGCCCCACCCATATGGGGCTGTGGGTCCGCCTCCATGGCCGAAAACTGCCGCCCGCGCGCCCTGAGCCTGCGGCCTGGCCCCCAGTGCGACCATGCAAATAAGGCTGTGGCCCCGCCCCCTGGCCACGCCCGCCCGCGGCCCGGAAACGGCTGCCCGCGGCCCGGAAACGTGTCCGCGCGCTGTGCCGGGCCGGAGCCCCAGGCTGATCCTCTGCACAAGTGGGAGTCGGAGTCCGGTCCTGAGTCCGAACCCGAACTGGGGCCGCTCGCCGCCCCGCCAGGCCCTCCCCCGGCACGCGCGGTCTCTCGGCGGCGATGGCGGCGCGGCGTGCGCGGGCCGTGCGGGTGCTGGTGGACATGGACGGCGTGCTGGCCGACTTCGAGGGCGGCCTCCTGCGGGGCTTCCGCCGCCGCTTCCCTGCCGACCCGCACGTGCCGCTGGAGGAGCGCCGCGGCTTCCTGGCCCGCGAGCAGTACCGCGCCCTGCGGCCGGACCTGGCGGTGAGTGCAAGCGGGAGCACGGACCCCACGGCGCCCCGAGAACAGGGAGCCCCGGGCCTCACAGTGCCTCCAGCGGGGAGCCCGGACCCCACGGCGCCCCCAGGAGGGCAGCACGAATCTCGAAAGCCTGCCATTCCAGTAGGGGAGCCCCCAGTCCCATGTGGGGGGACTGGCTCTGCTCCATCATGGAGCAGTTCCTTTCTGTTTGAAATGAGCCGATCTCTTGATTCACAGCTCAATAGCCTCCACTCCCTAGCCCCCCAACCGCACAAAATAAAGTTGGGGAACGGCCCCGAAACAAAGGCCGGATTGGCTGGGCTAGATCTGCTGGAGACCGACGAGGGTTGTGCCTTCTAGGATAAAGTCGCCAGTGTGTACCAGGCGCCAGGATTCTTCCTGGACTTGGAGCCCATTCCTGGAGCCCTGGAAGCCTTGCGGGAAATGAACGACATGGAAGAGTAAGGGAGGACGGGGAGGGGGTAGCGGGGGCGATGGGGTCCCCCCATCTAACGGCGCCCCCTTTCTGACAGCACGGAGGTCTTCATCTGTACCAGCCCCCTGCTGAAGTACGAGTATTGTGTGACCGAGAAGGTGCTGTGGTCCAGGCTCCTCCACAGAGGGGAGGGGGTGGGGGAGCTGGGAGGAGGTGACCCCTCCCTGCTTCCTGGCTCCTGCACTGACCGCCCTGCTCCCTGCAGTACCGCTGGGTGGAGAAGCACCTGGGGCCCCAGTTTGTGGAGCGCATTATCCTGACAAGGGACAAGACGGTGGTGGTGGGGGACCTTCTCATTGATGACAAGGAGAGCATTCAAGGTGGGCCCACTGCCTTGGCAACCTCCATCTGAGTTAGGCTGAGGGCGCACGGATTGCGTCCTCACCTGGCTTCCTCCTGTGCGTCCCAGGTCAAGAGGAGGTCCCGAGCTGGGAGCACATCTTGTTCACCTGCTGCCACAACCAGCACCTGGCCTTACCCCCCACGAGGCGGCGGCTGCTCTCCTGGAAGGACAACTGGAGGGAGGTGGTAGACAGCAAGCGGGGAGACCCTGCAAGCGACCACACACCTGGGTCCCCCTAGAAACCTGCCGGGGGACCAAGGCAGTGAACAGTGGCTGAGGGAAGGGAAGGTGGGCCAGAGCAATCCTGGCAGTGCCCAGGGCCTCAGCAGGGTAGGGCAGGAGACATGGACTGCTCTCAACAGCCACTTGGTACCTTCAGAGATGTGGATGTGGATACGCCCCAGGGAAACCACTCAGGAACCTTTTAATAAAATAAACCTTCATTTCTCAGGTCTCTCAGGACTCTTTATTTGGGAAAATAAAAGTCTAGGAAAGGCAGGGGCCCTCCAAGAGCTGCTAAGGCCTCCTCCCTCCCTCCTCTATGGAGACCAAAATCCATCCGCCTCCATACTTGCTAGGATACCACCTGTGTTTCTAGTGCTGCTGTAGCAGAAATACAAGTGGGTAGATTTAACACATTTTCTCCCAATTTCTGGGGCCCGGAGGCGCTTACCAGGGAGGGCTCTGTCGGCTACAGGGAGGATGTCTCTGCAGCTTCTGTTCTTGGAGCTGTCCTGTGGCATACTGTTTCCTGCTTGTTGCCTGAACCTTTGTTAATCTCTAGAGAGACTGATCTTAGAGACCCACCCTGCACTAGCACTCCCCTGTTTCTTAGGATTCTAACCACAGTGACACGAAGACTTACATATTTTGGGGTAACAGGCCCTTGTTTCTTTTGTAAGATACTTGGGCCTTTCCTTGGCCATCTCAGGACCAACCCCCCACTGCTGAGTCCCAGTTTCCTGTTGTTGACAGGCTCGCTCTCAGTAACCCCAAGACCAGAAGGGGTCCTGTGGGTGGTGAGAGAGGATGAGGCTTTCCAGGTTCATGCTTTCATTCTATGTTGTCATGTCTGGGGCTTGGTCTTGATGCTACATTAACAATCACTGGGCCAACATGACTGCCACTCCAGTAACCCAGGGCTTTGATATACTTGGAGCCGTGGGAGCGAGACTTAAACCTGTCCTCACATCACTCCTGTCACTGCCCAGGGGTGATACCCTGTTCACTTGTATGCAGATGGCGCTCAAGCTCTGAAGGAGGAGCCCCTTCTACCAAGCCTCTGCACCTGGGACCTTGGCTCAGGGTGAATACCCACCCAGAAAGAGCAGCGCCCATCATTCCCTTTTCCAGGCTTTGGAAAAGGTTTCCCCATTTCTAATACCTTATCCTCAGAGTGCCAACGTCTGCCCTGCTGGAAAAGCTCACCTGTGAAGTGGCCAGGAGGCCCCACGTGACGGATGTGCTTTGGAGGGCTGTGCTGACCCCTTCCTGCACCCCCACTAGGGTTTTCATCTCAGAATGATGCCTGCCAGGTGCAGGGCTGTGGTGGGCCTCAGGCCTTGGGCAGTGGGATGCCCAGTGCAGAGTGCTCCCCACCACGGCGGGCTTCAGCCACCTGGCTTGGGGAGCAAACGTCTTCCAGGAAGATGTGGGCCAGGTTTCGGAGCCGTGTGCTGGCAGAGAGGGAGAAGCGTAGCATGCACTGGACCAGAGGCGGGGTGCTCAGCTCGGGCTGGGAGCCGGGGCCTGCCGGGCTCAGGTAGATGAGCGTGGTGACCGCGGACAGTACCGTCTCCTCTCTGGGGCTGGACAGGCAGTTGATGATGAGCGGGATGCCACCCGCCTGCAGGATGTACTCCCTGTTGGCTTTGTCTGGACACAGGTTGCAGAGGCCACCTGGGGAAGAGAGGTGAGGTGAGTCCAGAAGTCCCTTCCCAGGCCTTTGCCTGCCTCCCCACCCCTCCTGTCCACTGAGTCCTCGAGGGTACTGGCCAGCCTAACATCCACTCTGGCCCCCAGACTTCCTTTTTAGGGTTCCTAACAGGTCAGCCTGCTGTGACCTTCCACACCCTGGCATAGATCCTTTTCCCTCTTGGCCCAGCCAGCTCTATTATTTTGTTTTTTTTGGAAAGAGAGAATAAAAACAAGAACCACAATGTTTTATTTTAGTAAAGTAAAAATAATGGTGAGGTGATAGTTTCATGCTTTGTATCCCAGTTGCACACCATAAATATGCTTACGTGTATCAATCCTACCTCAAGACAAAAATATTTCTAGGGGGAAAAAAGCCAAAACAGAAACCCTATTGGAAGAGCCCTACCAAACAAGCCTCCATGTCACTCTCATATTAATGGAGGGAGCTCTGTGGCTTAGTGTTAAGGAACTGTGCCACCAACACAAAGGCACATGGTTTGAATCTACCAGATGCTCCATGAAAGAAAGATGGGCGAACTGTGTAAGAAATTTTACAGAGAAGCCCTTCACACAGAGAAACCAAAGGAAAGTGGATGGACCATGGTAACAACAGAAACAACAGAAAAATAACAGCATAATGGAAGCAATAAAACCTGGCATGTCAATAATCACACTTAATGTGAGTGGAATAAATGCACCAAGAGAAAAAGGGCAGAGGAGATAAAAAACCAAAGCCGGGCGAGCACCGGTGGCCTAGTGGCAAGAAGCTGCACTGCAATCCCAGAGAAGAGTGCTTTGAATCCACCAGATGCTCTGCTGAAGAAGGAGGGACAATCTCCTCCTGTACCAGTCAGATCTGATTTGACGGTATACACATACACAAAAAAACAAACAAACAACAAAAACCCAAAAAACCCCAAAGCCCATCAATGTGTTGTCTTATATTAAGAGACTCATCTATCATTAAAACTAATAAAATTCAATTAAAAAAAAAGAAAAACAAGGAACTCATGCAATATTATTCAAAATGGGTGACCCTGGAGGACTTTATGCTAAGTGAAATATCTCAGTCACAAAAGGACAAATACTGCATAGTGCCACTATTGTAAAACACGACTGACACGGGCTGGGGGGGGGAGACTGAGAAAGATGGGATAAATTATGTATACTGTATTGAAACAGAAGAGAGAACTGTTTAAAAGGGATATGTGATTAGGTATTATTGTCATGAGACAAAGGCTGCATAGTAGAGTGGACCTGGGGGAGGGTTTGTAAAATAATGAAAGAATTTTTCTTTTACTTTTCAAAGAGAAGAGCAAACTGGAGGGGAGGGGTGGGCAGGGAGAAAAGTACAGCAAACTGGAGGGGAGGGGTGGGCAGGGAGAAAAGTACAACAGTGAATGAATGGAAACCCAAAGTCTCTGTAAATTTTCATGAAAGTTAACAATAATAATAAAAATAAAAAATTTTTTTCACTCTCGAAAAAAAAAAAAAGACTCATCTAAGAAACGAAAAAGACTAAAAGGCTGGGAAAAAAGAAACCAAGAAAATGGCACCCACAAAAGAAGCAGTGGTAGCAATACTAATCTGATAAAATTAGCCAGTTGGATTGTGGGTGTATTCAGGGTACCGCACCCAATCAAGGCCCAATTTATTTTTTTCTCACTGCACACAAGGTACAACTCCACAAAGCAAGCCTTACTAACAAAGTAAAAAACACTGAAGTAATACAAAGTATCTTCTCAGACTGCAATGTGATATACCTAGAAATTAATACAAGAGAGTTAAGTTTACAAAACCACCCACAGGGAGGCTAAATATCACTCTGCTAGAACATGATGGGGTTACAGAAGAAATGAAAAAAGTTCTTCCAATCAAATGATAATGAAAATAAGACCTCAGAAAAATGCCAAAACCTTTGGGATGCAGCTAAGGCCGTCCGTCTTCAGGGGCAGTTCATAGCAATAAGCAAACATAAAAAAGGAAGAAAGAAGCAAAATTAATGACCTAACGTAACACCTCCATCAAAGAGAAAAAACAATTTAACCTTACAGCCTCAAAAAGAAAGGAAAAACAGTTGAACAGACCTATCACAAAAGAAACTGAGCAAGCCCCCTCTCTCTCCCAGTCATTCTATAACGTCAGCATACCCTAATACCAAAATCAGCCGAAGATAGGATAAAAAAACTGCAGACCAATATCTCTCATGAATAAGATACAGAAATTCGTAACAAATTTATGGTCAACAGACCACAGCAGCACATCAAAAGAGCAATCTGTCATGACCAAGTGGGATTCATTAACAGGTTCAACAAGAAAAAACAAAAAAAATCAACATAATTCATCAATTTAACAAAGTGAAGAAAAAGAACCACATAATCCTGTCAATTGATGCAAAAATGGCCTTCGACAAAATCCAATATCCCTTCCTCATTAAAACATGCAGCAAAATAGGAACAGAAAGGAATTCCCTCGACATAGGCACCCAAATTGGCAGAGGTGGTGAAACTGTCGCTCTATGATTCTCTTCTGGTTCATAAGCATGATGATTGGGCAGTCATACTTCTGTATGATGTGCCCCCTTTAAACCTTGTTGGTAGGACACAGGCACACAACTCTTTTGACGTGAAAAACAAAAAAACCCCAACCTGTCGCTATATCCACATGAATGACAGGGTACACTGAAACTGTTATGGGCTAGTAGATCATTTTAGTAGCGTGGCAGGATACAAGATCAATATCCAAAAATCAGTGGGATTCCTCTATAGTAACAAAGGAGACACAGAAAAGGAAACTAAAAATACAATTTACCACAGCCCCCACAAACAATTGAGATACTTAAGAGTAAACCTAACTAGAGACACAAAAGACCTTTATAATGAAAATCTAAAAAAAAACCCCACAACACTGCAAGAAGCAGTAAGAGACCTAAGTAAATGGAAAAGTGTTCATAGTCATGGATAGGAAGCGTCAACATAGTGAAAATGACAATCCTACCAAAAGCAATCTACTTGTTTAATGCAATCCCAATACAGATACTAAATTCATTTATCAAAGAGATAGAAAAGGCAGTTGCCAAATTTATTTGGAAAGGAAAGAGACCCCAAATAAGTAAACAAGAATGAAGTGGGAGGCATAGCATTCCCTGATGTCAAAATCTACCACACAGCTGTAATAACCAGCACGATACTGGTACAATGACAGATACAAAGCCCAATGCAACAGAATCTAGACCCCAGAAATGAACCTATCTACCTAGAGTCAGCTGGTGTCTGACAAGGAAGAAAAGCCTATCAAATGGGGAAATGACAACCTCTTCAGCAAATGGTGTTGGCAAAACTGTACTCCCTGCAGAAAGCTGAAGCAGAATCCACATCTCACAGCATACCCCAAAATCAACTCAAGATGGATGGGAGACCTGGGAGTAAAGATCCAAAAGATAAAGATCACAGGAGACAAAATGGGACCAAACTTAGAAGGCCTAGCCCACGGTGTAAATATGCTGGCAAATACAGCCAGAACTGCACAACCAGGAGCGGATAACACTGATACAGGGGCCCTGCTAAAGATTAAGCTCCTGTGTGTATCAAAGACTTTTACTAGTAGGGTAAAAAGAAAACCAAACATTTGGCAATGGCATCTCAGACAAGGGTATTATAACAGAATACTACAGAGTCTCAAAGAAAAAGACAGAAAACCCAGTTACAAAATAAGACACAGTCTTTTCACAGAAGACAATCAGACGGCCAACAGATATATGAAGAAATGCTCAAAATCAATAGCAATAAGAGAGATGCAAATCAAAACCACAATGGGACACCCTTTTACCCCAGTAGCACTGGCAAAGTTTAACAGGACAGTGAGTGATGAATGGAGAGAGTGTGGAGAGACTGGAATTTTCATACATGGCTGGTGGGATTGCAAAATGGTACAACCACTATGGAGGACACTTTGGTGTTTTCTCATAAAGTTGAAGACAGAAATTGCATATGACCCAGCTATTTCAATGTTAGAATATACCCCAAGGAAAAAAGAAATGAGATACAGATTTGTACACCAGTGTTCATAGCGGTGTTATTCACAATAGCAAGGAAATGGAAACAGCCCAACTGTCCATCAATAAACAAATGGATTGACAATGGAATGCTTTGCAGCATTCAGGAACAATGATTCCCCCCCCACCCCACTATATTACATGGGAGAGGCTGGAAAGCATTATGTTGACTGAATTAATTCAGTCTCATAAGGACAAATACTCCATAAGACCATCATCGTAAAAATAGAAGGGTAACTAGTAAGATGTGTACACAAGTCCAAAGGGAGAAGGGGTGCTGTGGGGGAGGGAGAAGTCCTGAGGTCACAGAGTCTAGTGGGCAGAGCGAGAGGATGAAGGAATTAGGGAAGATCCAGTGGGGACCGGAAAAGGCAGGGTAATGGTGGGCGTGGATCAATGGTGATTAAATTTATAAAATATGGAAGGGAGGGCTGGGCAGGGAGAAAGGTGCAACAGTGAATGAATGGAAATCCCAAATCTCTATAAATTTTCATTAAATAATAAAATTTTTAAAAATTAAATAAAAAATTATAAAACAATGCATGAGATTTTATGAAACACAATGGAAAGAGAGGAATGTGTGAAACACAATGAAACAGTGTATACAAATTTTATATGCAAACTAATATAAATTTTTTAAAAAAGTATTTACATGTCAGAGGGGAACAGGCCGTTACTCCCTGTGGTGCCAAGAAGACAACTGTCACTTTCAAGGGCAGAGAGCAGGCCAAGAGCAGGGACCGGCAGGGGCACTGAGCGCAAACCTCTCCTGCTGTGACTGTGCTAAAACATCATCTAGGATGAGTCATCACTACCAGGTGTGTCTCGATGGGTGGGGCTGGATTAGTACATGGAGCCCTGCTCATTCCAGACACTAAACCCATCCTTAAGCAGCTCAGAGTGAAAGGGCAGGCAGGGTAGGAGGTAGAGCTGGTGCAGCCCAGATGGGACCAGAACCTGCAAGAGCAAAAGATGCCCTGAGCTCTCCCTGAGTCCCCCAAGGAACTGCTTGAAGAAGAGTGGAGGACAGTGGGAAATGACTGACATCACTGCTCTTCAGGACTCTGGAGAGGTCCCTAAAACAGCAGACTTTCCAAATACAACTTGTCTTTTGATTTCCTGGCTGCTGGTACCAAAAGTGTTGATTGTGGAGCCAACCAAGCTAAAACTGTTAACAGTCTCAGTCTCTTCACCATCTATCATGAGGCTGCCAATCAGCCCAATAGTGAGAATATTTGTTTCCTTGATACTGAGCTTCAATCCATATTTAAGGCTGCAGTCTTTGACTTTCTAAAGCAAATGCCTCAGGCCCTCCTCAGTTTCAGCATGAAAGGTTGTGTCATCTGCATAACGTGGGTTGTTGAGTCTTTCTCTAATCTTGATGCTACATTCCTCCCCATAGAGTCCAGCCTCCCAGATGATCTGTTCGGCATACAGATTAAAAAGATACAGAGATAGGAATGCATCCCTGGCATACAACTTTCCTGATATTGAACCATGTAGTATTTACCTTGTTTTGTTCTGATGACTGCCTCCTGGTCCAAGTACAGGTTTTTCATAAGCTCTTAACTATTAGAATTATTCAAAGGGTATACACATTATAAATTTTCCTAGATATTAAATCTATTACACAAAAGTTGTACAAATTTCTGTATTTTTTTAAAGTTGGTTTGTTTTTTTCTTCTTTTCTAAACACAGATAATGTTAGTTGCAAACAGATCACACACACTTCCGGTTTCCCAGTGCATATAATGGTTCTGTTTATATATTAGTCTAATTGCATGGCAGCATGATGAGAAAGCTTGAAAAACTGAGAATTACCAGTTTGTGACAGAGACAGGAAGTTAGCCCCTGCTGGTAGAAAATGGAGCTAACAAACTTGCTAATACAGGGTTGCTACAAGCTTTCAATTTGTAAGAAATGTATCTGCCAGGCACAATGAAACACAGTAAGGCAAAATCAGTATCCTGCCCACATAAAAACGGTGCACTCTGCTCACTGGAACTAAGAAGCATGGAACAGAAGAGAGGGAAGAAAAGCAGAGATGTACAGGAACAATTAGTCCAGGGGACTGATAGGTCGTACCTCAGCTCCCTGAGACTAGAAGGCAAGAATGTGAAACAAAACTCAAAAACGTAGAAAGACCAAGTTTACTAGTCCTTAGAGAGACTGGTGGAATCTCTCAAGATGACCTCTAGTCACCTTTTGAACTTGAAACAAAACTCAATCCCAACAGCTCAACAGCCCTACAAGGTGATCAAGAAGACCAGGGAGCCGTTTACTCTAAGAATTACCAGCCATTTACACCCAAACCCTAGAGCTGCCGCTTCCTATAGCTGCAGTTTAAACAGCGGTGCATACAGCAAGAGGACTTTGTCCCTTTTTAGGGGCTGTGTCCCTCAAAGTGAATATGGAAGTTCTACACGCTTAGTGGCCAGTCCTCAGGCTTGTGGGGTCAGTTGGGAATGTATGGTGGTACACCGTGTTTAAAAAAAAAGGATTACCATGGCGAGCTCTGGTGGTCTAGTGGCAAGAAGCTGCACTGCAATCCAAGAGGTGAACAGTTCCAATCCACCAGATGCTCTGCCGGAGAAGGAGGGACAATCTCCTGTACCAGTCAGATCCGATTTGACGGTACACGCACAAAAATAGTAAAATTAAAAAAAAAAAATTACCAGCCATAAAAGGCCCATAAAAGGCCAAATAGGGAAGCATTTGTCCAAAGACAAAGCCCAGAAGTAGGATGGGGGAGGATAGAGAGGTTCATGGAAATGTGGGGAAGTGGGAAGAGTGTGATTACATTGTGCATACTGTAATCAATGTGTTTTTAGTTTGGGGTGGTTTTTTTTACATTTTAATGAAAGTTCATAAAGAACTTGGATTTCCATTCATTCATTGTTGCACATTTTCCTCCCTGTCCCCTCCCCGCCCCAGTTCTCTTTTTTTCTTTGGAAAAGAAGTTCTTTCACTGTTATACAGTCCCTCCTTTAATGTTATAGAATAACATATATATATGAATGTTTGACTGGAAAACCAATTTCCTTTGTAAACTTTCACTCAAAGAAAAACCAAGTTTTGGTGGTTTGCAAAAAACATGTAATAAAAAAATCCCACCAAAACAAACCACATAATGCTCACATCATTTGTGTAGACAGGTAGGTACACTGTGAGATTCATGACATGCTCTTAAATTATGTACAAAAAAGCATGAGTTATTTAATCTGTACAGATGCTATTAGGGATGGAAATATGGAGAAACCGGTACTCTTGAGATTCTGTAGGTTAAAGGAGGAGGAAACAGGAGGAGAGGAGAAAGTGCCGTAAAAAGGACATATGGGGAGGAAGGACATAAAGAAAGGAAGTCAGGGAGCTCTGGTGGCCTAGTGGCAAAAAGCTGCACTGTAATCCCAGAGGTATGCAGTTTGAATCCACCAAATGTTCTGCTGGAAAAGGAGGGACAATCTCCTCCTGTACCAGTCAGATCCGATTTGATGGTACACACAAAATAATAAAATAATTTTTTTTTAAAAAAGGAGATTTAAAAAAAAGAAAGGAAGTCCAGATACAGGCTAACAGGGACTAATGTGGAAAACACTATGCGAAGTGAAGTCAGTCAACTGAAAATGGACTGTAGGATCCTTCTTTGTGAAATACCTAGGACAGGCAAATGGAGTTTAACAGTGGCTTCCACCAGTGGACGGGAAAGATAAGAGGGAGTCACCATTCAGGAAGCAGTTAGTGGGGAGGTTTTGCATCAGATTGGGGATGGGAGTATAACATGATGAATGTAATCGAAGTTAGTGAATTTACCTGTGAAGACTGTTCTGTGTTACGCACTGGAGTCCTGGTGGTGCAGTGAGTTCAAAAACCCTGCTAACTGGCAATCTGAACCCACCACCTTGAGAGAGAGAGGAGGAAGTGTGCTTCTATCAGGATGTAGAGTTCTGGAAGCCCAATAGGACACTGACGCGGCATGAATGGCAACCTCCTCCAGTGAGAATTACAACCTCACACACCTACTGGAGGGGCAGCTATAGTCTGGACAACCTGACAGAAATGAGGTTTCTGGAATGTCTGTGGTGAGCATTATGTTCTGGGAAGATCTAACAGAATGAAGTGACACCAGCAATGTGTAAAACTAGACAGGAGCCTTAGAGAGCAGTTCCTAGAGACTGGGAGAAGAGCGATGAGAATAGATGTACAACATGAAGAACGCTGTCAATGTCAGAGAATGGTCCATGCAGAGACTAGTGAACTGGTGTAGGTTTTGTGTGTATTCTCAACAACAAAAGAAAAAGGCTTACATAGAATTTCTAGGTTACAGGAAATCAACAGGACAGAGCAACAAGAAAGGACACCAGGAAGTGGGAACTTATCAAACAAATTCGGCCCAAGTGGTCTGACTTTTCTCACAGAAAATGAGGCAGGACGAGCTCATCACTGGTCATACAGTGGGTTTTCTAAAGCTGTTAAGTGGTAGGAAAGGAGATGCCCATCTCTCCCCAGCGGAGCAGCTGGTGGATTTGAACCACTGAGCTCTGGGTTGGCAGCTGGTGGATCTGAATCACTGAGCTTTGGGTCGGCAGCGCAATTCCCCACCCCCTAGGCCAGCAGAGGCAACCGGTAGGTTTAAGTGAAAAGGGTCTGTAGACGCCTCTTGGCAGGAGAAGGGTTCCTTTCCCAACCACTCCTTCGCTCACCGCAGCCCAGCAGTCAGCTCCACGAGATTGTCCCCGTCCTTACCGATGGCAAACTCCACCAGGGTCTCGTTCTCCTCCGACAGGGAGTCGAGGAATAAATCCAGAACCTGCAGCTGCCGCAGATGGTGGTAGTTGCTGGGGTCGTAGGCGAAATTGGCCAGGTTGGCCAGGACTTGCTCCTTGGCATCTGCAAAGGGGAAAGAAGCCCTAGAGTCAGGTCCAGTGCAGGCCAGGTCCAGTGCAGGTCAGAACCAGTGCAGGCCAGGCTTCCACCCGCCGGGCCCTCGGCCCTCTCACCCCGCCCTGCTCACCTTGGCTCTCGGTCTCCTGGAATTCCGTGACCAGCGCCTGCAGGTACCCCAGCCTCCCGACGTGGGGGTCCACCTTCGGCTTCTGGGCCATGTTCGGGGCGGCGGAGGCCCGGGGTCGGGGGACGGCGTGAGCGGCACGGGGGCCAAGAGGCTGGAAATAAGCTCCGTCCTGAGCGCGCGTCCGCAGAGACTGGCTGCGGAGACTCGGTGCGCGGACGGGTAGGGTTTTAGGACCCCGATGACGTCAACCGCCGCGAATCACGCTCGCGTGAGAGCAGAGCCGCGGCACCGCCCCACCCACGGCGGAACTGGCAGTACTAGCCCCACCCCTGAGCCGGAAGGGGCGTGGCCGAAGCGGAGCTCAGCGCGTGCGCGGTGCTTCCCGGAAGCACGTCTCCGCCTCCCCGCACTTGACAGCCGAGGCTCCGTGCACGTGGCACCTCGTCATCGCTCCTTTGATCCTACCGTCTGGTTTCCTTCCTAAAAGCCGCGCGAGCCCAGCGCCCCTTCCTCCCTGCCTCGGACCAGAAATCTCAGGAACTGGGCCGTGCCCTTCTTGCTTTGCCAGAAAGTGGGAGTCGAGTTCCCGGTCGGCAACGATGGTCTAGGTATATAGCTAGGGTCACCTACGTGAACTGCTCTACGACTCTGTGGGTTGTACAGCCCAGGTTGCTGAAGCCCTCTGGCCCGACTTTTTTTTTTTTTTTTATATGTTAGATGGATCTTGGCTGAAAGCAGGGAATACCAGAGGAATGTCTATTTGTTTCATTGACTATGCAAAGGCATTTGACTGTGTAGATCATAACAAACTATGGCTGACTCTGAGAAGAATGGGAATCCCAGAACGCTTGATCGTGATAATGCGAAACTTATACTTGGACCAGGAGGCAGTCGTCAGAACAGAGCAAGGGAACACTGCATGGTTCAAAATTGGGAAGGGCGTACGCCAGGGATGCATCCTATCTCCATACCTTTTCAACCTATATGCAGAACAGATTATCCGGGAGGCTGGGCTCTATGAGGAGAAATGTGGGGTCAAGATTGGTGGACGATTTATCAACAACCTGCGTTATGCAGATTACACAACCCTGCTTGCTGAAACTGAAGAGGACCTGAAGCACGTGCTGCAGAGTGTCAAGGACTGCAGCCTACAATATGGATTGAGGCTCAGTGTCAAGAAGACAAAGATTCTCGCCACTGGACCAACTGGCAGCATCAGAATGGATGGTGAAGAGATTGAGATTGTACACAGCTTTAGTTTGCTTGGCTCCTTAGTCAACAGTCTTGGCACCAGCAGCCAGGAAATTAACAGGCGCATTGCCGTGGGAAAGTCTGCTGTAAGGGACCTCTCCAAAGTACTGAAGAGCAATGGTGTCTCTCTGGAGACTAAGGTGCATCTGATACAGGCTATGGTCTTCGCAATCACTTGTTATGCATCAGAGAGTTGGACAATGACCAAGGAGGATAGAAGGAGAATTGATGCCTTTGAGCTGTGGTGCTGGAGAAGAGTATTGAGAATACCATGGACTGCTAGGAAAACAAACAGATTTGTCCTGGAAAGGGTTAAGCCGGGTGCTCCTTGGAGGCAAGGATTCTGAGGCTCCGTCTAACATACTTTGGACATGTTATGAGGAGAGACCGGTCCTTGGAGAAGGACATCATGCTTGGGAGGGTGGAGGGACAGCGCAGGAGAGGAAGGCCCTCTATGAGGTGGATTGATTGATTCAGTGACTGGGATAATTGGGATGGGAGTGTCAGAGACAGTGCGATTGGCACAGGACAGAGCGGAGTTTAGGGCTGTTGTACATAGGGTCACTATGAGTCGCAAGCGACTCGATGGCACATAACAACAACACTTCTTATCAGGGATTCCCAGGAAGGTGGCTCCCACCACGAGAGCTCTCATGGGCGCGGGGATGGAGCCCCAGGGAGGAAGGGGTTTAAGCTGTTAGAGGACCATATGCCTCTGGGCTTGGGATGAGGGCCTAAATGAAGTCACACTCCTTAGCAGCCCTTTCAGGGCAGGAGTTTAGACGATAATCTATGTAAGTGTCCTAACTACGCTAGGATGCTGACAGCGTCGAGGCAGCCCTAGGACCATCATCTCTCCCCAGAGCTGGGAGCCCTGAAGCAGCATCTGCTTTAGGCTGGACAGGACAGCAAAGATGGGCCAGGAGCTTAGGGATGGGGGACAGGCAGAGTGAGCCCCATAAGCTCTGGTTAAGAACTGTCCCAGGAGATTCCCTGGAAATAAGCTGAGGGCAGCTTCTAGAACCTTCTTTCCTTTATGTTTGGTTTTATCCCTTCCTGAGGCCTCCTGCTTTGAAAACAGTTTGTGCCTTTGACTTTGTGCTGAGGGCAGGGACAGGGCAGTACAGGGCAGGTACAGTAGATGATCAAGTGAGTTTATACCGAAGGAATTCTGGGAGGTAACAGCCACCCTTTCCTAGGGGTCAGACAAGGCCAGGGTCAAGGTTTCCTATGCTGATTTTGCCCCTCCCTCACCTTGCACCTTAATAGGACTCTTTTCAGGAAATGGTCTTGTTTGAGAAAGTACAATTTACAAAACCTGGTGGCTACTGGCACCGAAGCACTCAACTAGGAATGAGTCCAAACTCCCTCCCTCTGTATCCTCAAGACGGAGAAGGAGAGAGACTGACTCCGTAAAATGTGTCCAAGCGATTTCCCCATCAGAGCACAAGGTGTGGGTACTAGTCTGGCGGAGTGGAATGGGAGCCCTAGGACACCCACATAATTTTTGGCTTATGACCCAATACATGAAGACACTAGCCTATGCCTGGTCCTGTACCCCCATAATTGGTGGTAGATCTGTGATCCCTAGAGTGCCAGGCCTTTCTTCCTATAGTCTTCAATCTGGATGCTTCACTGAAACTCGTTCAACATCATGGCAACAAGCAGTCCTCCACTGACAGGGGTGGTGCTCACACAGGAGATTGTCGGGCTGGGACTCAAACGCAGGTTTCCTCCTTGGGAGGCAAGAATTCTATCACAGAGCCACCATTGCCTCCCATTCCCACATAGTTCAACATTTCAACTACAAGAGACTTCAGCTCATTTGAGACAACCTTCTTTTTCTAGTTAGAACCTACTTATTAGCTGACTCTCTAGGAAGTTCCTGGAGGCTGTAAATTGTACCATGGGAGGAGATTGACCATCTGTGTCCTTTGGAGAGTGGCTAGCGGATTCGAACCACCAGGGAGGCACTGCCTTTGGGTTGACAGTACAACTTCCTAGGGACTTGGCAGCCTTCTGTGCCACCAGGGCTCTCTACTTTTCCTCAAGTCACAGAGCAAATTATAATCTCAAACAAAAATCCTGTCCCCTCCCGGGACCCCCTCCTCCTTTCTGCACTACTGTCTTTGGCCATAAGGGGGCACTCATGTCAGGGTCTTGAAGGAGAGAGACTGAGAAGATGCTTATTCATGCCAGCTGGACCTGTAGCCCAGGAAGGCTGGAGTCAGGTCATGAAAATAAACTTGATTCTCCTTGGCCTGATCGAATTTTCCTGTGGAGCCTGGTTGAGACTGAAACAACAAACAAGATTCTGGGCCTGATTAGTCCCTGCCAAGCTTGGAGAAGGGCAGGGGTAGGGGAAGCTTACCCTAGGCCTGCTTTCCAGCCTCATTCCTTCTGACTTGCTGTAGGGACCCTGCTTGTGTATCATTCAAACAGGCTGTTTGTCCCTACCCTTTGGTCAGTACCTTGCTGGGACAGGCCTGGGCTGATAACAAGCAGCTCCTGGGGTGATGACCTCAAGGCATGTCACCAGTAGTCTGTACAGAACTCAGACCCCTAGGCCACAGGCAAACACCAGGAGGAAGCAGGAGTGGACTGGGCTGGTGGCTGGCCCCCACCTCACCTTTGAGAGTCCCCTCAGACACAGCAGAGGGGACAGGGGAAGGATGTAGAAGGGTTCGACAAAACCAGTACACCAGTTGACCTCTGATTCATGTTAACTAAGAGAACTGTCCCTGTCTAGTTTTCAGTGGCTTATTGGGAGGTGATTGATCACTGTCCCACCATCACCTTGTAACTAAATGATCGGGTGGAACTATGGAAGGTGCTCGTGGCACACTAAGGGAGCTGGACAGCTTGCTAACAGTCCAGATGAGGTGTGAGGCATTCTTGGGGAGACTGGGTACCCCTCGTTAGGTCGTTTCAAGTATACTGACCCTGTGAACAAAGATCTGAACTCTATCCTGTTCTGCACCATGTTCATCATCTCTGACACACTTGAGCCCATTGCTGCAGTCACTGTGTCCACCCATCTCACTGAGGGGCTTCTCCTCTGCCGAGAGCCCTTTCAAAGGAACATGCCTAACAACATGCCCAAAGTATGTGAGACGAAGCTTCACCATTCTCGCCTCCAAGGAGGACTTGGGCTGCACTTTCCCCAAGATATATTTGTTTTTTTGGCAGTCCATGGGATATTTAATACTCCTCTCCCACGTCTCCTGACCACTGGTACTAAGGATGTTCGTAAAGAATCAGTCTCAGGTGTTGATGTCTTTGCCCCTAGATCCTTGTGAAGTCAGAGAAGGTCCGCTGCCCCTCGCCCTACACTATGTTCTAAAGCCACTTTAAGGAGGTCTGGTGGCCTAGTGGTAAGCAGCTGTTCTGCAATCCCAAAGGCACACAGTTCGAATCCACCAGTTGCTCCACAGTTGAAGGACCGGCAATCTCCTCCCATACAGTTTACTGCCATGAAAAGCCACTGAAGGATAAGTTATGGGTCCATTCTGACACGGCAGCACACAACAACAATCACTCATCTGCATACTAACTTTTTGGGAATGCCACATCTGTCTCCTTACCCGTCTGGGTTGATTTTCAGTTTAGCACTCAGGTGTGTTAACTGTTGGCATCACTTGGGGACACCTTCCGTTACAGAGGTGGCCTGGTTTGCACAAAGGACCCCAGGCCCTGGCTGGCATTTCTCTCCTCTGGACGAATACCATCCAGCTCTCCACCCCAAGCCCTAACTGGCCTGGCCTGGCCTTTAGGGGGACAGGAAGGAGACCTTACAGCAGGTTCTGCCAAGTGCACTGACTCCATGACTCAAGATCGCTGCATAGATGCCAGGAAGGGCACTCAACCCAGTGTTTAATCTGTTCCAATCCCACACACAGGGCAACTCCTCAGCTTGTCCCTCCACCATCACAGACCACAACCCCTTCCCCTAGACCTCTGGCCAATGTGGAGCCCAGCACACTGGTCCTGTAGCAGTCTGAGCTTTTAGTTCCTTAAGGACAAGGCTGAGGGAACAGGAGGTATGAGTTCTCTGAAACTTCTGAAGGTGCAAAGACGAAGAATCACACTGGTAGAGTCCAGGCTGGACTAGAAGGTCCCAGGTATTGGGTAGTAGCAGCAGCTGTGTGGGCAGCCAGCTGAACACAACTGGCTTTGAGCCAAACGGGGCTCAGACCCACCTTCCTGGGCCCTAGGGTGATGGTGGTCCAGGGAGAAGCCAGGAGGACCTGCTCCTGGATGGGACTGTGTGGGAGGATCAGTCGCGAAGGTCCCAGCTCGCAGGGGACCCCTGCTCACAGACCCTGCTCAGTCTTTGGTCCTTGTTTCTGGGGCAGCCCTTCGCCCAGTCCTTTAATAGCAGCTGATGGCCCATTCCTGGGCCAACACAGTGGTCAGTCACATGATCCAAGGGCTCAGATGTGGTCACGCCTGTGATCCTGGGTTCAGATGAGGTCACAGCCATGGTCTTGGAGCACAAATACTGGTCACAGCTGGGTTCCCAGGGCTCAGATGTTGTCACACCTGCAAGCCTGGGTGTGAGAAGTCACACCTCTGTCCCTGGGGTTCAGAGCTGTTCACATCTATGTCCTTGGGAGCTCAGATGCTGATCACACCTATGAACTTGGGTTCAGATGAGGTCACATCAGTGACTCCGGAGCATAGTGGTCACAGCTGTGTCCCTGGGGGCTCAGATATTGTCACACCTCTGACCTGGGATTCATACCTGTGACGTCAGAGCTCAGACACTGGTCACATACATGACCTCGGGGCACGGCTGCTTCTCCGAGGGCACCACCAGGATGAGGCCCCTCTCTGCAGCAGTTTCTAGGGTGGCTCCTTCGGTCTTAGCCAGCGTATCTCTCTTCTCCCTCTTTTCCAGAGCATAGAAGCTGCCACCCATGAAGAGGGCAGCTGAGATGAGGAAAAAGCTGGACATGTAGAAAACATAGTTGAAGTTGTTGGTGGTATCCAGAAGGAACCCTAGGGAGCAGAGAACAAGTCAGGACTGTCCAGGGCCTCCAGGTCTCTCCCCATTGAGCTGTGCTCCGCTACAACAGGGATTTTGTCTCTGGCAGCCTAGTGGCAAAGGGATTGCACTGCTAACTCAAAAGGAGGTGGTTCAAATCCACCAATTGCTCTAGGGGAGAAAGGTGGGCAGTCTCCTCGCGTGCAATTTACAGTCTCTGAAAACCCACTGGAGGGTCTGCTATGAGTCAATGCCAACTAGCTAACGGGGTAGGTAGGTAGGTAGGTAGGTTACTGCCCCCAGTGCCCGAAACTCTGGCAGGAATCGTAGACGCTTGATAGGCATTTGTTGAATGAATGAGGAAAAGAAATGAAACACACTTTGGTTTGGGTAGGGAGAGTTCTAAAAATATTCCAGCCAGAAGGCAATCTCAGAGCATGCTTCCTGCACACTGGCTGCCAGGTCAGTGGAGTCCAGGTTATTTGCTCAGTCACCTCCCAGGCCTCACCCCTACCTCCTCCAGGCAGGTCCCTCCACTCACGTGCTCGGAGAACTCTTTTGGATGCTAAGGCTTCTGAGGCCACATGGGAGGGAAGATTCCCATTGGAGTACACTTCAGAGTCCAACTGTAGTAATAACTACCTGGTTTGCCTGTTGGCTTCAAGACCCTTTCTTCCTCACTGACCCTGCATGACAGGATTGCAACCTGCCATGGTCCTCTCATGCAATCTCTCTCCCTCATATTCTGTGTTGTTCCTTCCCAGCACAGATCACCGTCTGCAAAGGACTCTGTTTACTGATACCTGGGAAGGGGAGCTGGGCCAGGGGTTCAGTCATACACATCCAGGACTAACCAGGGACTAACCAGGGTGAATTAAGGGTTATTTGCTGTTGTTATATGCAACAGAATTGAGTGAACAGCAGAACAACTGTGAACAACATCACTGACTCCTGTCCTATCATGTGCCGCCGTCCGAGATCATTGAACCCATTGCTGCATCACTGTGCCAATCCATCTGATTAAAGGTCTCTTCTCTTTCCCTGACCCTCCACCTTTCCAAGCATGATGTTCCTTTCCAAGGAATTGCCTCTCCTAGCAACATATCCAAAGTATGTGAGTCAAAGCTTCAACACCCTTGCCTCCAGTGAGCACTCTGGCTATACTTTCTCTAAGACAAAGCTGTTTTTGCTTTTTTTTTAATTGAGATTTTGACAAAAGTTTATAAAGAACTTGGATTTCCATTTATTCTTTTTTGCATATTTTCCTCCCTACCCCCCCCCCCACCTAGTTTTCACTTTTCTCTTTGAAAAAAATTCTCTCATTGTTGCACAATTCCCCCTCAGTCCATTTTGCTATGCAGCTCTTGTTCTGGACTGTTGTCATGCAAATAATACCTAATCATATATTCCTTCTAAACAGTTCCTTCCCTCATCTGTTTCAATGCAGTGTACGTTATCCCTTCTTTTCTTAGTTTCTCCTCAACCTCTATGTCAGTCCTGTTTTATAACAGTGGCATTATGCAGTATTTGTCCTTTTGTGACTGAGATGTTTCACTCAGCATAATGTCCTCCAGAGTTGCCCATTTTGTATAATATCGTATGAGTTCCTTATTTTTCAGTGCTGCATAGTATTCTATTGTGTGAATATGCCAAAGCTTCTCTATCCATTTGTTTGTTGATGGGCACTTGGGTTCTTTCCTATCTTTGCTATTGCGAACAAAGCTGCAATAAGCATGGGTGTGTGTGTTTGTTCTTTTTGCAGTACATAGGATATTCAGTACTCACACTCCAACACCACAGCTCAGGGCATCAGCTCTGCTTCTGTCACCATTATTCACTGTCCAGGTTTCACATGCACAGCAAGTGACTGAAAAGACCATGGCCTGAATCAGGCACAGCTTAGCCTTCAAACGGACATCACATGTTCAAGGCTGTAGTCTCTGCTCTTATGTAGCAAGCGCTTCAAGACTCCTTCACTTTTGGCAAACAAGGTTGTGTCAGCTGCAGATTGTTAATGAGTCTTCCTTAAGTCTTGATGCCACATTCTTCTTCACAGAATCCAGCTTCTCAAGTGATTTGTTCAGCATACAGATTGGATAGGTATGGAAAAAGGATACAACCCTGACTCAGACCTTTCTTAATTTTAAACCATGCCGTGTTTCCTTGCTCTGTTCAGACAACAGCTTCTTGGTGTAGGTATGCTGTTTGTTAATATGTGCTGTCAAGTCGCCTGCGACGCATAATGACCCTATGTACAACAGGCCTAAACCCTCATCTATCCTGTGCCAACTTTACTGTCTGATACACCAACTTCCATTACCCCAGTCACTGAAATCAATCAGTCTCATCAAGGGTCTTCCTCCCCTGTGCTGTCCCTGCACCATCCCAAGCATGATGTTCCTTCTCCAAGGACTGGTCCCTTCTTGCAACATGTCCAGAGTATGTCAGACAAAGCTTCAGAATCCTTGCTTCCAAGCAACAGCCTGGTTTAACCCTCTCCAGGACAAACCTGTTCATTCTCTTAGTAGTCCAAACTGTATATTCAATACTGTTCTCCAACACTACAACTCAAAGGCATCAATTCTCCTTTTATCACCCGAAGTCATTGTCCAGCTCTCTGATGCATAGCAAGTGATTGCAAAGACCATGGCCTGTATCAGGTGCACCTTAGTCTCCAGACTGACACCATTGCTCTTCAGTACTTTGGAGAGGTCTCTAACAGCACACTTTCCCATCACAATACGTCTTTTAATTTCCTGGCTGCTGGTGCCCAGAGTGTTGGTAGTGGAGCCAAGCAACCTAAAGCTGTTTACAGTCTCAATCTCTTCACCATCCATCACGATGCTGCCAATTGACCCAGTGGTGAGACTCTTTGTTTTCTTGATAGGTTTTGTATAATGAGGTGTCTGGAATTCTCTTTCTTCTCAATGTTCACTATTATTTGTCATGATCCACGCAAACGCCTTCGCATGGTGAATAAGTCATAAATAACCTCCCAGTCTAGTAGTGAGTGGTTTTTCCCCTCCTTTTTGCAGCTGTCACTGCGGTTCAAAGAAGCAAGTTGGCTTTCTGGGGTCTGTCAGGCAGGAAGCAGGAGGGCTAGGAGGCTGACAACAGCAAACACACCCCTGGTGGGAGTTCACCAGGTGCCTGACTCCCTGCTAAACTCTCTCGAAGTATGTAATTCCTAATCCTCACAAAGCAGCCTACAGGGAGAGCATCTATAATTATCCCCACTGGACTAATGAGAAAATAGACACTGATATGAAGGTAAGGACTCAGGCTGGTCGGGTAGTATTGCTCCCTGAGATGCCTGGGAAAACCAGGTTCTTTGCCCCCAGCCCCGGAGATGATGGACTAGGCCCACCTCTGTGCAGACTGCAGCCCTGAAGTTGCCCTGGCTGTACCTGGGCACAGCCAGTCACCCTCCTGCCCGCCCCTGCAGGGCCTCACCTGCTGTGGGTGGGGCGATGAGGATGGAGAAGCTTTCCAGGACAGTGACGAGGCCCAGAGCGCTGGAGAAGCGGTCCATGGGGACGAAGTCCATGAGGACCTGGAAGAGGAGGGCGCCGATGACGCTCATGGACACGCTGTACACCAGGCAGTAGCCGACCAGCACGTGGAAGTCCGCCGAGGTCACGCACATCAGGTTGGTGAGCCCGTTGAGCAGGACTGCCAGCGTGAACAGGTACTTGCGGTACTTGGCGAACCTGGGCTGGCTGGCCACCAGCCCGGTCACCGGCCGCAGGAAGATGTTAAAGAAGCCGATGATGGAGACGAGCAGGGCGGCCTGCTGCTCGTCCACCCCGTGCCGCACGGCGAAGGGCACCAGGAAGACGTTTGGCAGCAGGAAGCCCATGAACATCCACACGACGCCCAGCGTGTACACGCGGTAGCCGGGGTTGTGCAGCAGGATGTCGAAGGCCAGGTGGTGCTTGAAGGTCCGGCCACATGCGGCCAGGCAGCCGAGCGCCGGCGTCTTGAGGGGCAGAGGGGGTGCTTCTTTAGTCCTAGGGGCTGTGGAGGTGGCCACAGGCCTCATGATGGCGCCACAGATGCAGCAGTGCAGGAAGACCCCACCGAAGATTAAGAAGGTGCCCCGCCAGCCCAGGTTCCCCAAGAGGTAACGGGAGAGCAGAGGCCAGAGCATGACGCCGATGGCGTTGCCCGCCGATGCCAGCGCGTTGGCCAGTGCCCGCCGGCGGGTGAAGTAGTAGCCCAGGACCGTGATGCTGGCCTGGAAGGTGAAGCACATGCCCAGGCCTGTGGAAGAGAGGGCGACACCAGTTTGGAGGATGCTGGGGCCAGAGCAGGGCCATGGGGTCATCACCCATTCCCGCCTGGCCCCACCTCCAACTCCAATTCTCCAGTTATTCATGCAAGTATTTCATGCGTGTTGACACAATTAACCATCAGAACAGCCTTGTCAAAGTGCTCTGGTAGGACAGCAGTTAAAACACTTGGTTGCTAAAAAGGTCACCAGTTTGAACCTACCATCTGCTGAGAAAAGTTCAGCTGCCTGCCTCTGTGAAGATGCAAACCACCCTTCACGGACAGCTCAACTAGACGGTCAGTGTGACATGATGGAGGCTGGTGCTGCTGTACCATCCTGGAGACCCTGTGGTTCCACTAGACGGCAGTGCTCGGCAACCCTGCTAGACGCTGCTGCTGGTCTGAACCAAACTATCACTGGTCCTCTGGCAGGTTTTCGGAGGCAGTGAGCCACACGGGAGGACATTACCTACCTCTCCCCCGGAGCAGCTGGTGGACTCCAACTGCATGCCTTTGGGGGAGCATTTTGGTAGCATTTGATAGCAGTGCAGCTCCTTACCAAGTGGCCACCAGAGCTCCTTGACAGATGTGTCAGCAGCCTCATTTTACATATGGGGAAACTGAGGCACAGAAAGGTGAAGTGACTGCCTAAGTGTCAGGCTCAGGATTTGAACGCAGGCAGGAGAGCTTCCTGGTCCTACACCCTTGGCCGGTATGCTGTGGACTGTCCCACAAGTACTCAGATAAGGCAGAACCCACTTCACCGCGTCTGTTCCAGCCGAGGTTCTCAGGTCCACTCTCTCCACAAGCTCAGCCTCAGAACCAAAACCACCCTAATCCGCTGCCCTCAAGTCCATGCCACTCAAGGAGATGAAGACTGTCAGTCATCGTGGGAGGGGTCTGCCCACCTTTCTCCTAAAGAGGCTGTGGGATTCAAGCTGCTAAACTTCTTGTTAGGTGCACAATACATTACACACTACATCACCAGACTTCCTTTCTAGCACCAGAGTGAGCTTTACAAAACTTAAATAAAAATTAAAACAAAACACCAAACCACAAAACGAACCTAAATCCAATTAATTTCTCCCGCATGTACACCTTCTGAGGACTTCCCATCACATTTACGGGAAATCCCAACCACTTACTGTGGCCAGAGGGCTCCCACCTCAGGTCACTTTCCTGCACTCGGCATAATCCATCTTCATCAGCCTCCTTCCCACCCTCCTCTGGACACCACGCTCTCTCCTGCATCAGGACATTTGTGATTGTCACCTCCTCTGCCCATCGTGGTTCAAAGGCTGCCTCCCCAGAAGACCTTCCTGCTGCCTGACCTGGCAGGAACCTGCTCTCCTCGACCCCATGCCTGCCCGAGTATAGAACATGCCAGAAGAAAATGCAGCTCTGCCATGATCACCCACCTGGAGTGGGCCCTGGGTTGCCCGTGACCCCGCTCTGGCTCCCCTAACCCCTTACTGTCCTATCCTCCTGATGACCACTCACACCCACATCTGTCTCCATGCTGCACCCCTTCTCCCTCTCTGCTGGCCACTGGCCCTCCCCCTGCAGAAGGACTGTGTCCTCTCCCCTCCACGTAGGCTCCGTCCTGTCTGCTCACAGGGGACCCTCCAGCCACACACTCCTCTCCTGCACTGTTCCCTTTGCCCTCTTTATGAACTTGTACTCCTGAAAACAAAACCGAGTTCTCTCTTGACCCCATAAACCCCTCTGGGTGCGGTCCACCTCTGCTCCGCTCCTAGCAACATTTCTCCAAAGCACTGCCTCCATCTGCGGTCTCTGGTTCCCTCCAGCTCTTTTCAGTCTGTTCCCAGCAGGAGAGCTTCCTGACCGGTCACAGTCAGGACTGCCAGGTGCCTGAGGCGGTTTGCTCTCACCTGACCCAATCCACCAGAGGTTCGACTCTCCCTTCTCCCCACCAGCTGTCTCCCTTCAGCCCAGACTCTTCCTTCTACCTCTCTGCTCACTTCTTCTCAAGTGAACCTCTTACACTGGAGGCCCTGGTCACTCACAGTCCTCAGGGCCCACCAGCTATCCACCAATCTCCACCACCTTGGGTCCTCTTTAACTCAAGACCTTAAAATCCCACCTGGCTCATGACTCTCAAATAGGCTGCCCTAGCTCCGAATCTCAAATTCCAGACTGGATATGTCCAAACATCAGCTTCACATCCCCCTAAAAGTGCTTTCTCCATGTTGTTAACAGCCACTCCGTCCTCCTGGCAACTCAGGGCATAAACGCCTGGGGCCACCCTTCTTGAGTCTTGAAACCTTCCATCGTCCATGACTCATCTTTTCTGCACCCCACTGCAGGCTCGTCCCTACCTGTCACCTCCATCGTACCTCCGGGGCTGATAATCACCCCCTATGACCTCCTCGTGCCTGGTCGTGACCATGCCCCTGCCTACTTGTTCTCCCTGCTCCCGGCCAGCGTTCTCCACGATGTTTTCAACATGCAGCTTTAAAGAGACCTCTAACCATACCCACTGGAAGATCGAGCAGAGAGCGCTAGTGAGGCTGTCCCTGCATTGGGGCGGTGTGAGCAACATTATGGAAGGACATGGAAACTGCTGGCTGCTGGGTAAGACATCCCAGGGAACATCGTACGCTGCTGCTCAGCTTTCTATAACCCAGGGAGCTCTGGCAGCATTGCCCGCAGGGACCCTCTCTGGGGGTTTTCCCCCACCGGCCACTCAACGAAAGAAAGACAAGCAGTCGCCTCTGAAACCCAGCGGACGGTCAGCTCTGAGCCACTTCTGACTCCATCACAGCGGTGGTTGTTTGGTGCCATTGAGACACCTCACTGAGCGCGACCCTATGAACAGCAGGTCTGAACCTTGCTCTGTCCTGCGCAAACCTCACGATCTCTCAGATGCTCATGGGAGTTTTATTTGTGCCATAGAGTTGGTTCTGACTCAGCTGATCCTGCCCTGGGTTTATGAGGCAAAATCTTTATGGGAGGAGACTGCCCATCTTTCTCCCGTGGAACAGCTGGTAGATTTGAACTGCTGACCTTTTAGTAAGCAGCCCAAAACATTACTCACTATGCCACCAGGGAGGGGGGTGTGTGTGTGTGTGTATTGTGTACTGTCAAGTCAGAACCAGCTCATACCTGACCCTCCAGTGGGTTTTCAGAGACAGTGAGTCCCAGGCGAGGGGAATCCCTATCTCTCCTCTGTGGAACAGCTGGCTTCAGACTGAGTGAGCGTCTCTGGGTTGGAAGTGCAACTTATTATCACTCAGCACACACACCCCGCCATACACCAGATAATAACAACCCTTCGCTTCAAACCAAATGACTTCTTATGTCAAGAAAACTTTTATGACACTGAACCCCTAGATTATTCTCTCCATGCTTTGAACCCGTGTCCACACATCTCTAACCTGCTGGTCACGGTTCCTTGACCATTCCAAGCAATGGCCCTGTTCCCTCTTCCCCAGAGAGCCTGGGGCTGACCCCCTCTCCTCCGCTGGGCCTTCCCTCTGGATTATTACTATTGATGTATCTGCTTGTGGCCCATCTCCCTCACGGTAAATTCCAGGTTGCCTGGCCTGTACATGTGCCCACCGCACTGCTGACCAGACGCTGGGGAGTGCCCGAGACAGATAGTCACCTGTGATGAATCCTGCCGTGATGTAGAGCTGCCCAAGGGTCCTGGAGGAGCAGCTGGCCACCATGCCCACGCAGGCCAACACCCCTCCCAGCATCGCTGTCGGCCGGCAGCCGAAGCAGTTCACCAGGATGCTGCACAGGGGCCCTGTGGGGAGGAGACAGGAGTTGTTCTTGTCATAAAGAGCAGCTGAATGAGAGCGAGCGAGCCAGCCAGCCAGCCAGCCAAAGGGACTCCAGAACCGTAGTGACTTGAGATGGCTAAGGACTGGGCTCCTGTGGGATGTTCAGTGCCCAGGCCTTTCTGCCCATAAACCGTTTTCACACTCACTCGACCTGGCCCAGGAGGCTGGGAGGCCCTGGTGATCTGGGCCAGACCTGACCTCTCCCTAGTCCTGAACCCATGCCCTGGGTAGCAGGTTCAGGGGTCATCCCAAGGAGTGTGGCAACTAGCCCGTCTGGCCTCCCACACTAATTCAAAGGAAGAATTGATGATTGGTTGCCAGGTGGAAGTAACCAAGGAGCTGGAGTCAGCTGAAGTGACCAAAGGCCTAACCCCTGTGGGCCTGTTCGTTTGGTGACACTGGGGAAAGCCCTGGGTCATCCTGAGTTGGGGGTAAGGGCTTGGCTGGGAGCCTGCGTGTGGGTGGGGCCCCGGGAGGCAGGAATCTTTTGCAGGGACACTGTTTCTCCCAGGAACCTGCTTGGCAGCCTCTAGTAGTCTCTGTTCTCCACGCCTGCTTGCTCTCCTCTTCTGGAAGTTTGTATGGGGAGTGTGAGTGAGGTGGGTGGGGTGCTTAGAATCTTTAAGACTTTCAAGCTTCAAATGCCTACCACATGGAAGGAGCTTGGACTAGAGCGTGTGTGTGAGACACAGCTAGCTAGTGGGACTCGTGTGTGTGTGTGTGTGTGTGTGTGTGTG